TGAACTACATATTATATTTTACTTATACTCAATTAAATTGATTATCATAATTAATTTCAAAATTATCTAAATATCATTAATATTTTTTGTAATATATTATTTTAAATATATTCAATAAAATAAATTTCTCGAACAAAATCTATATTTATCTTCTCTTTAACGCAGTAAAAAAAGGTAGTACATTTTTTGTCACTGGTTCCACTGGCCAGGAATTTGCCACCGACCGATCGATTTTTAAATTGCCGTACCGGTGTTAAAAGCGATATCTAGCGCTGTTTCGCGATACTGGTCCGGATATTTCTTTTTTACGCTCCAATTTATCGATACGCATTAATCTCAACTCTAGTCTGTTCTCTCTCTTAATAATTTAATTTTTAATTAATAAATACACTCAATTAATACGAATACCTTAGTAAAAATAATAATTATTTTCTCTCTCTCTCTCTCACACACACAGTGAATTATTCTATTTCTCTCTTACTCTCTTAGTTAATTACTCTCTCTCTCTCTCCCTCTCAGTTAATTATTATATTCTATATTTTATTTTCTCACCTTATAAGGTAAAAATATAATAATTATTTTCTCATATAATATTCTATTGTGGAATATATCATTCTCTCTCTCTCTCTCTCTCTCTCTCAGTTAACTATTATATTCTATAATATTTTATTTTCTCACATTATAGCATTCCATTTTTCTCTTACGCTCTAATTAATTATTATACTCATTTTCGCTATGTCTGCAGACGCTCGCAAATTAAAAACTCTTATAGCTCAACGCTCTGTAGAACTTACTAAAATTAAAGAACTTAAAAAATCCGCTGATCAAGCTCTTGAAGATCCAAATTTTCACCCTAACTTTAGATGTAGAGCAAAACACTTAGAAGATATTTATAAAACTTTTGATAAGATTCATAATAATATAATTTTATTAGTTTCCGCACAGGATAATGGCGATATTGATCCTCATGTCAAAATTCAAACTGAATTTAATGATTATTATTTTCACATTGAAGCATTATTCACAAATTTATTTCCGCAAACGAAATCGGAGCTGGATACTACACAATTACAAAACACTACTGCTCAATGTTCGTAAAACTTCCTAAAATTGAGGTACCCCATTTTGATGGTGAATTTAAACATTGGCAAACATTTATCGATATGTTTGATTCTCTTATACACTGTAACTCGTCTCTTAGTGATATATCGAAATACAACTATCTAGTGAGTTTCTTACGAGGTCCTCCTTTAGCTTTGGTATCTAGTACTCCACTTGCCAATCAAAATTATAATATAGCATATCAAGCCTTAAAAAATAAGTACGATAAGAAACGTTTGATTGCAAAAGCTCACTGGCAGGCTCTAGAAAATATTAAGCCCATCTCTAACGAAAATAATCATGAAGCTCTAAGAAATATGATTGATATTTATACTCGTAATATTACAATTTTAAATAACTTGGGTTTTCCCACAGAGAGCTGGAGTTTTGTGCTATTTAATATGATTTATGATAGACTTCCAGAAATTTTGCAAACTAATTTTGAACTGGAATGTGGCTCTGTTTTATCACAAGATATGCTATACCTCAAATCATACGATACACTCATTGAATTTTTAGAAAAACAATGTTCAGCTAAAGATACAATCTCTCTAACTAAATCGTTTTCTCATTTTAATAAAAATAGTAATTATGACAAAACTAAAACGAAGTATTCACAAAAAAGTTATAAAAATAAACCTACCTCTTCCTTTGTTGTCAACACTCAGTTGAAACAAAATTTAACTTGTCAAGTTTGTAACAAGGATCATTTTATTTATAACTGTCCAGATTTTATTGCTTTTACTCCAAAACAGAGATATGATTTAATTAAATCCCGAAGTTGGTGCTCAAACTGTCTCGGCACTAGACATTCTTCTAAGAGTTGTAATTCTCGTTCCTCATGCCGAACTTGTGGCAAAAAACATCATTCGCTTTTACATTTCGAAGGTCAAATAACAACTCCTGTAAACGTTCCTCCATCCACTTCATCGCAAACTCTTCCAGTTCTGCAAGCAAGCAGCTCTATCTCAGAAGTTGTATCTACAAATTTATTTGCAAAACATAAGAATAAAGCTCTTCTTTCTACAGCATTAATCAATGTTCAAGATGCGTGGGGTAATTTTCATGTAATACGCGCTGTAATTGACAGTGGAAGTGAAAGTCACTTTATTTCAAAATCTTGTTTTAATAAATTAGGTTTATCTAAATTTTTCCTCCCCATCCAATTGTGTGGCATCGGGAAAAATATTTCCAAAGGTTCTCACGGTGTTAGATGCAACATTAAACCTATTGGAAAGTCTGATCCGATCTACTCCTTGGAGTTTATTATATTAAACGAAATTAGTGATAATTTACCGATTAATTCTCTTCCCGTTGAACAGTTCTCAAAGTTTTCTCAATTGCCCTTAGCTGATCCCAACTTTCACCTCTCTAAACCCGTAGATATACTTTTGGGTGCAGATATTTATGGTTTCTTGATAACAGGAAACAAACTCCTCTCAGATCCAGATCAACCCGTCGCTTTAGAAACTATATTTGGATGGATAATTACAGGAAGAGTTAAAACATCTAGTGTTTCGCTCTCTGTAAACTCATACTTTCTTACCTCTTATGCTTCCTTGGATCAATCACTTCAAAGATTCTGGGAGTTAGAGAACGTTCCACAATCCTCCACGCTTTCTTCAGATGAAAAGTTTGCCGAAGAACACTTTTGTAAAACATTTTCACGCACTCTTTCTGGACGTTATAAAGTATCTTCACCATTTAAAACTTTGGAACCGATCTTTGAAGGTTCTAGAGATGTCGCCCTTCGTAGATTTTTCTCCCTCGAAAAACGATTGCTTCGAAACCCTCAACTTTATTCTCAATATTCTAATTACATGCGCGAATATTTAGATTGTCAATATATGATTGCCGTGCAAAATCCTTCTCCCAACGCTTATTCTTATTATCTGCCTCATCATTGCGTAATCCGACCAAATAGTCTCACGACCAAACTTAGAGTTGTCTTTGATGCTTCCGCTCGATATTACACAAATAAATCTTTGAATGACACTCTCTTAACAGGGCCAAAATTACAGTCAGATATTTTATCTATTTTGCTTCGATTTAGATCGCATTTGATTGTATTTGCTAGCGATATTAAACAAATGTTTAGTCAAATTCTTGTTAATGAAAATCATATTGAATACCTCAAAATTTTATGGCGATTTAACGCTAATGAGCCGATTCAAGAATACAAACTTACTCGCGTTACTTTTGGTTTAAGCTGTAGCCCATTTTTAGCCATTCGAGTTATAAAACAAATTGCTTTAGAAAATTTAGTAAAATATCCCGAAGCATCAAAGATTTTAGATATGGATACGTATGTCGATGATATTATATCTGGTTGCGATTCTCTTTCTCTTGCTATAAAAATTCAACGCGATCTCATTTCTATACTGGAACACAGCGGTTTTGAACTTAGAAAATGGACTTCGAATAGCTCAGATTTTCTTTCTCAGTTATCTCCAAATGAATGCAAAATGGATTCTTCTCTCTCTTTAAATATAAATTATCTTTCTTCCTCTAAAGTTCTAGGACTAAACTGGAATCCCTCTACAGATGAATTTTTCTTTGATTCACCAGCGTTGTCCTTGACAAACAAAATCTGTAACAAACGCAATATTCTTTCACAACTCGAAAACATATTCGATCCCTGTGGCATGTTAGTTCCTCTCACTCTTCACCTAAAACTGATTATACAAGATTTGTGGAAGTTAGGTATAAATTGGGATGATCCTGCTCCCAATAACATTGCTACATCTTGGCATCAACTCGTTCAAGAATTACCTTGTATTTTCTCTCTCAAAGTTCCTCGATATTTTCTCACTCTCAAATATTTATCCCTGGAAGTACATGGTTTTTGTGATGCTAGTGAAAAAGGCTATTGTGCAGTAATTTATTTCAGGATAATTCTTCCAGATAACTCTGTAAAAACAAATTTTGTCTGCGCTAAAGGCAAAGTTGCTCCACTCAAAAAAATCTCAATTCCAAGACTGGAACTCTGTGCAGCCTTACTTCTGACCAGGTTAATTGATTTCGTTAGAACTTCTCTTACTAATAAACTTATTAATGTTAGTACGATTGTATGGTCCGACTCGATGGTTGTTTTACATTGGCTTAGAAGTGAACCATATAAGTGGAACACCTTTGTGAGCAATCGAGTTTCCCAAATTCAAGAGAAATTACCTCCTTCTTGCTGGCGTCATGTAGTCTCAAAAGACAACCCCGCTGATCCAGGTTCTCGTGGTCTTCAACCTAGCGAGTTACTCGACAATGCCTTATGGTGGGCGGGACCACCATGGCTAAGCCAACCGGAATCTTATTGGCCACAATCAATTTTTACTTTCCCTGAAATTGAAGAAGAACAACGAAAAGTTATATTGACATGTACTTCACAGCCCTCATTGTTTGATACTCTCTTTGAAAAGTTCTCTTTCTCTAAAATTATAAATATTGTCACGTTTTGCAGACGCTTTCTCTATAATACTCGACATTCTAAATCTCGTAAAACCTCTCCTCTCTCGAAATTTGAAATAAATGAAACTCTAGAATGTATTATTAAATGTGTTCAATCACAATATTATGCTAGGGAAATTCTCTTAATAAATAATTGCAAATCTCTACCTAAATACTTACGAAAATTGACCCCCTTTCTCGACACCAATGGAATTCTTAGAGTTGGTGGTCGCTTGCGCAATGCTTCTCTAAATTTCTCTCAAAAACATCCCGCACTCTTACCCAATAATCATAAATTTACTACTCTACTCATAGAATATACTCATTAACTCTATTTACATCCCGGTCCCCAAACGCTTCACTATATTCTCGCTCAACAATACTGGATTGTTTCTGCTAGAAAAATAATTCGTAGTGTTCTCTTTAAATGTCCTCAATGCTTTCGCGCTAATCCAGTAATGCCTCAGCCTCCTATTATGGGAGATATTCCTGCTGTAAGACTTTCTCAAGTAAAACCTTTCTCTGAAGTTGGATGCGACTATGGTGGTCCATTCTCTTTATTAAGATATCGTGCACGAGGTGCTAAGTCCTGTAAAGCCTATATTTGCTTATTTGTGTGCATGGCCACGAAAGCTTTGCACTTAGAACTGGTTTCCGACCTTTCCTCCGAGACTTTTCTGGGTGCACTGCGTCGATTCATTTCTCGTAGAGGTCGCTGCAATCATATTTATTCCGATTGTGGAACGAACTTTGTCGGAGCTTCTAGAGAACTGATTAATATGCTAAAATCCGCCGCTGAGCAAGAACAAATTTCTTGGCACTTCAATCCTCCAAGCGCGCCTCATTTTGGTGGCCTGTGGGAAGCAGGAATAAAGTCTGTAAAAACTCACATTAAAAGGGTCATTGGTGATCAATTGCTCACGTATGAGGAATTTTATACGCTACTGGTTCAAATAGAAGCAGTGCTTAATTCTCGTCCATTGTGTCCACAAAGCTCTGATCCTAATGATTTGTCAGTTCTTACTCCAGGACATTTTTTAACCCTAGAGCTCGTTAAACGCCCCTCCGGAAGATGATCTTCCGGGATAAAATTAAATCATCTCTCTCGCTGGCAGTTGATATCACACTTGCACCAAAGCTTTTGGAGCCGATAGTCTAAAGAATACCTTCAAACACTTTTACAAAGAGCTAAATGGAATGACTCTACTATTCCAATAGAAATAAACTCGGTTGTTTTAATAAAGGATGATAATCTTATTCCGCTCAAATGGAGCATTGGAAGAGTCTTAGAGATTCACCCGGGCCATGATCGTGTTACACGCGTGGTTACTTTAAAAACAGCAAAAGGCATTCTTAAAAGACCAGTGACAAAGATATGCCCACTGCCTTACTGCAAATCTCATAATTAAAATTTACTCTAAAAAAACATAATCGCAAAAAACATAATCGCAAAAAAAACATAATCTCATTATAAACATAATTAACATCTCTTATTTAATTACTTTTCTCTACTCTATAACAAATGTAAACTCTCTTAATATTTAATTAAATTACACTCATGCATTAACCCCAATAATGCGTTTTTTCTAAATTTCCTCTAAATTTAACTTCATAAATTTCACTTTTACTTTCTTTTTAAACATAACGCATTTTTTCACTTTTTTTTTTATTTTACTTTACTATTCTCTAACGAAAATGGAAAATATTTCATTTTGGTGGGCGGTATGTTGGATTCTATCTCTTCCTCCCATCCTTTACCCGAAAAACCTTAGTGGGTACGTAGCCGTAGTGTTTTTTTTAGTGTATCCTCAAGTGTTTTATAAGCAAAAAATCAACAAGTACGAGTCCAGAACGGGAATAAAGGTGAGTGCCCACAGTCCTGATACATTAACTCACCCTAATGAACTGAGCCCCTTAATTCTCGCCCGTAACACATGGATTATTTTTAGATATCTTAACTATATTAGAGTCTTTGCAAATAAATTCACTTGGAGTCACTTCTTCACATTTATTGTCCAGAAACGCGTAATTCTGTTCATTAAATATTAAGTATTTTGCATTAGGTATTATTACATTTAGGGAATTATTATTTTTTACAGAAAATGGGTAAAGATGATATAGATTATAACTATCATTTTCCACAATAGGTATTTCTAAAATAAAAATTATTTTATTTGTCTCACTATAACTTTTAATATTTATAGTTTTTTCAAAAAGTATTAAATTTATAAGTTCAGGTTTAAAAGGTAGTTTAGAGTTCTTTAAATACTGTGAAACAGAATTTATTTCCTTGAACAATTCGTCACTCTGAACAATAGAATTGTGAAATACGTTTATCTTAGCAAAAACTTATGGCAGTTTCGATTTTTTCTAATATATCGTAAATAATCTGATATTCATTGATTATTTGTGAAAGAGTAATTTGTAATAGTAAAAATTGATATGTGTCAAGAAAATATGCTTCAGTATTATAAAGAATTGTTTCTAACATGTCAATACGATGTTTAATTATTATTTGATTATTAGATAGATTTTTAATATTATTTTGGAAATTTTCAATTGATTTGTCAAACATTGAAATTTGATTTTTAATAATAGTTTTTATTTCTAATTGATTGTCAGAAAGATTTTCAATGGCTTTATTATATTTTTCAGCATCATACTGATCTAAGTTACCAGTTATTGATTTGATTATTGATCCCAGTCCATCAATTAAACCACGTTTATATCTATTATTATTAGCACCATATAAAGGATTAATTTGTTTAATTTGAATATTTATTTTAGTTTGCAATAAATTTGCTAAATTATAAGAGTTATAAAATTATATTTGTATGTTTTTGAAACATTGTATTATTTTCAAAAGCAATTTTTATTCTAAAATATTGATTTTGAATTTCATTAAATTGTTGAATTAAATTAGTTATATCAAATACTTGTATAAATTTCCAAGTGTCGATTTTATTTTGGGCGTTGCCTAATTTTAAGGGTAGTATTCCTGGGTTATCATTCATTCGGTGGTATTTTGGTTCTCCATAGGTGGTGGCGAATCTGAAACAACAGGTGGTTTCCTCAATTCTTGAATATGTAGTATTTCTTTTTTATTCGGATCTTTTTTCCGAGTTATTTCCACTCGATTCCTTTCTAACATTTTTGTTATAGTATATGGTCCCAAGAATTTATTTTTTGATTTATTCCTTTTTAAAGGGTTTAATTTATATACCGTCTGTCCTAATTTAAATTCATCATTTGTGTTTCCTTTTACATTGTGTTTAGAAACAACTTTCTCTTTTTGTTTATTTAGATCTTCCTTTACTTTTTCATAAACTTTTTCTAGTTTTTGTTTATGATTTTGGGTATAATCTGTAAAATATTCTTTTAGATTAAATATCTCATTTGGCTCTCTTGAGTTCGTATGACCAAAAGTTAGTTCAAATGGTGTATATTTTGTTGAGCTATGTATTGTATTATTATAGGCAATAATAGCATAATCCATCAATCCTTCAGTTTCAGTAGGGAAACTTTCTTTCAGTAATCTTAGGTGTTCTATAATTGTGGAGTGAAATCTTTCAACTACACTGTTTGATTCGTGATGTAAGGGGGTGGTAAAATGTACTTTAATTTTATGTAAATTTAAAAGTTCTTTGACAGTTTCGTTCTTAAATTCTGCCCCATTGTCTAAAATTATTTTTTCTGGTATTCCCGCAAAAGCAATATATTTAATTAAGGCATTTGCGATGTTTATTGCATTTTTTCCAGGTATTTCAATTGCTTGTGCATATTTTGAAAATGCGTCAACTAGAGTTAAATACATTTTTGAATTATAATAGAATACGTCAATATGAACATTTTGAAAAGGCTTAGAAGCTGTTTCGGTTAACATTAAAGGTGAATAAGGTTTTTTCCTACAATATTTTGCGCGTTGACAGATGTCGCAACAATTAATATAGTTGGTAATTTCTTTTTTCATGCCTATCCAAAAATAATTTCTTTTTAAATATTCGAGAGTTTCACTTATGCCCTTATGATTTGTTTTCCCTTCATGATGATTTTTGATTAGTAAAATTTGTTCTTCTTTATCTATTACTGTATTTATTAACTTAGTACAACGTATTAATTTTGGCGAGAATTTTGGTCCCTTCTCTGAAAAGCGTTCAAGATAAACTTTATTAAATTGTTTATAAAATTCATCTAAATGAAAATACATGTGATAAGTTTTACTTTCCACTGTATAATCCCTTAAAAAATCAAATATTAAATTAGAGTTATTAGTTTTGGGAATTTTGACATTAATTATTTTATGATGTTGATAGTTTTCTTGGTTCACAATTAATTTATTATGAAGATGTGGAAAAACTAATATTTGATTTGTTTTGTTGTTTATAATTTCTTCCAATATTGAAATTCCATCATTGGTAGTTTCCATGACGTTAGAATGTTGTGTAGTTAAATCCTCTTGTTCTTTTTCTTGTATATCTTCATGTTTTTGCTCTTGTTCTTCTTTTTGTTGTAACTCTTTTTTCTGAACTTCTTTCCTAGTTCTTGGTGATCTAATTTGTATATCTTGGAGAATTTTTATCTTTTCTTTTTCTTTAGTTTTATCTGTGTTCTTTTGGCTTGTTGAGGGTTGTTCTTCACGGTCAACATTTTCTGCTAGGTCTCTTAGATAATCAATAGGGTCGAATCCTTGTTCTTCTGTGTCTCCAGGGTGATTTATCATCGATTCATTTTCTAGAGCATTTATTTGAATTCTTGAAAGTGCGTCTGCATTCGTATTTATTTTTCCTTTTTTGTACATTATGTCATAGTCAAATTCTTCTAAGTTTAAGCGCCATCTTACTAGTTTACTATTTGGTTCTTTCAAGTTAAATAGCTACATCAATGGTCGGTGGTCAGTGTAAATGGTGAATTTTCGTCCAAATAAATATGGTCGGAAATATTTACATGCCCATACAATCGCAAGTAATTCTTTTTCGATTGTACTATACCGTGTTTCTGTTTCATTTAATGTCCTTGAAGCGAAAGCTATTGGTTTATCGGAACCTATTTGTCCTTGAGATAAGACTGCTCCTAAGGCCACATTTGAAGCGTCTGTTGTCAATATAAATGGTTTTTTGAAATCTGGATATTGTAAAATAGGTGCGTTAATTAATAAATTTTTACAAGTATTAAAAGCTGAAATAAATTCTTGATTATGAATAATCTTCGAATTTTTCTTTAGGCATTTTGTTAAGGGTTTCGTAATTTTAGCAAAGTTTTGAATAAATTTTCGATAATATCCCACTAATCCGAGAAAACTTTTTATTTCTTTAGGTGTAGTAGGTATTGGAAATTTTTTAATTGCTTCTATCTTGTCAGGGTTGGGTTTTACTCCTTGAGACGTTATGACATGTCCTAAATAATTTACTTCTTTACGTAAAAATTCGCTTTTATCTAACTGTACTTTGAAATTGGCTTTTCTTAATCGTTCAAACACTTTTCTTAGTCTTTCTAGGTGTTCTTGTAATGATGTACTAAATATTACGATGTCATCTAGGTAAACTAGGCATTCTTCGTTTTGTATTCCTCTCAAGACGTTATCCATAACTCTTTGAAACGTCGAGGGCGCATTTTTGAGTCCAAAGGGCATTCTTTTAAATTCATAATGCCCATTTTCGGTTGAAAACGCCGTTTTACATATATCTTCGGAACACATTTCTATCTGGTGAAATCCATTTGCTAAGTCCAATGTTGTAAAATATTGGCTGCGTCCTAACTTGTCTAATATATCAGATATATTAGGTAGCGGATATTTGTCATCTATTGTTTCTTCATTTAATTTTCTGTAGTCCACTACTAATCGCCATTTTCTTTTTCCTGATGCGTCCAGTTTTTTCGGGACTATCCAAATTGGGCTGGACCATGGTGATATAGAATCTTGAATAATACCTTGATCCATCATTTTATTGATTTGGTTACGTACTTCTTCTTTATGGACTTCTGGATATCTGTATGTCTTCGTATATATTGGTGTTTCATTTTTTAGATTTATTTTGTGCTGGATTTGGTTCGTAAAAGTTAAGGGTATTTTTTCACA